CCCTAAGCTCTCTAATTAGTAAACACTGTTTCCTTGATATTTTCTCTTTCACAACGTAACAACTGTCATCTTTGCTCTGTATAAACTGCTGGTAGGCATCAGGGGAAATTGGCTATCTTGGAAAATGTGGCATTCTCCATCACTGACTTCTGGTTGGACACTATCGTTTACAAGCAAAAGGCAAGCAAATGAGGAGAGGCCTTCTAGAATATCATATTTGCCCATGACTCCTGCTTATTATAAACAAAGCACCACAACCAACAGAAGGAAGGGATGGATTTTTCAAAAAACAGTGTTGTAAAGGGGGCTATTTGGGTAAACATTCAAGTTAGAGCCTGATCTCACACCAAATAATTTCTATACACCAAAATCATTTCTAGTTTGTTTAGAGATACATAGAAAATATTAAAACCATACAAGATATCTAACTGGTCTCTAGATCTGTCTCTAGGCATAAAAGTAATGGAAGAAATCACAAAAGAAAATCATTGAAAATCACTGAGAAAATCATTTATGTTAAAGACATAAAATTGAAAACATTATAAACAAAATTAAAAGGTAAACAATAAATTGAGAAATATTTGTCACATTAAAACAAAGTGTTCTGTGCCTACCATATAAAGAACTCTTCTAAATAAAGAAGAAAAACAGTAAAGTTCCAATGAAAACCAGGCAAAAGATAAGCAGAAGGTTAACAGGGAACACCGACATAGCTGGAGGGTGTGTAAAAGAAAAGAAAGCTGCTGGGAAAGTAATTTAAGATTGAGAACCATAAGAAAGGCTGATGCATTCGAGTCACTATTTCCATTTTTAAGAATTTCCCTAATGAAATAATCAGAGATTTGAACAAAGACCTGTGTAAGTATGTTTAGCCCAGCATTATTAATAAGAGTAATTAGAAACAACCTAAATGTCCAACAATTGAGGTATGGTTAATGAATAAACAATATAACCATTTTATGTAGCCATTAGAAGTGATTAAAAAAAGAAAATATTTAACAGTATTGCCAAGTATCTTTAATATAAAGTATTGGGGAAAAACCCCCACAAGATTTAATAAATCTCTGGGTTTAAAAAAAAGTGTGTGTGTGTGTGTGTGTGTGTGTGTGTGTGTGTGTGTGTGTGTATGAGGGCTCTTTGGTGTTGCTCAAGAAACTTATTAGCTGTAATTAAATAAATAGTCCCTGCTATCCCCTCTCTGGAACTCAGTGCATGAGTTGCCCATGTGAGAAGCAGACCCATCTGTCCCTTGTGACTTTCCATCTGGGACTCACATTTAAAACTGCTGTTTGTTTTCTCTGTCCATGACATTTCACCCACACAAGGTATCTCCCTGATTGGTGGACACTGTACCTCAGTTTCAGGAGTTTGTGGGATGGCTACCTATCTCCTAGGGTCCCCAGAATGACTTCTGCATATCTTAAACACAGCCTAAAAGTTTGGTAAAATCTGCCTGAATTTGTGTAGAAACAGACAGGCAGAGAACTAATTTCAACCAAGCTGGAAAAAGGAGTTGAAGGACACATACTAAATATAAATGATGTTTATCTGGAGATGGCATTATTTCCTTTCTGGAATAGGCCTATTTTTCTCTCTTTTCCATTTCAGCTGCAATGATCATGTGCTACTTCTATAAAGATGAACAAGACTATTTTTATAAGATATTTTAAAAACCAGAAAAAAAAAGCAACCTAAGTCACCAGCAGGGGGAGCCTCTGCCACGCCACGGAGTGGTGCATGTGGCGGAGGCGGGATGCCTGTTCAGACACTGCGACCTGTACCTGCTCGCTCATGGTGTTGATCCCATCAGGCCCCAGCAGAGACACCGCCTGCTTCACCAGGTCCGTCCGCCCACAGTTCAGCATCCGGAAGCCCAGGTCCTGCTTAAACTTGGCTTCGATGGCCACTGCATCCAGCTTCCGAGAAGCGCAGAAGCAGTCGTCGGCCCTAAGGAGGGGAGAAATGGTCATGCAGGTGCAGCAGCTTCCCCAGACACTGTCCTGAGGACCAAAGAGCACGCTTCTTAGGAAGCACCATGGAGCTTTGCATTTGCCTTTCATGTAAATCGCCTGCTCCTAGGCACCAACTAAAATGATGGCCTCCTGATGGCTCTTGATCCTTTGTCCTTCAGAACTGCTGTGGGTCTGT